TATATTGGAGACTAATGGTCACCGTTTTTCTCAATTTTACAGTGAAGATAGAAAATTACAAAAACATGGTGCTTCAAGATACTATTCTTATTGTTGAGTAGCAGTGAAATCCAGCATTCATGTTTTTGTTTGTATGTAAGACGACTACTCAGGCAATATGTTACTTATTCTAACCTTACTGTTGGTTTTTGTTAACTGTAACCTGTATTCGGCATTGGTTTTTTCAGATTTAGCAGTGCTATCAAATTAACTTCTACGATCACCACTTTGTTTGATGTCTTTTGCTTGTTTTACACATAACCAACCACTGTTCGTGATTGGTTAAAATTAAAAAAGATCATATTTACAGTCCTCATCAATTCTAGTTTAATTTGTAATAGTTTTTTTATCCCGTTGATATTTCGAATGAATTTTGATTAGTCTTAGTTTGCATATATGAATCCTGTGTGGAATACCTCTATAGAAACATTATGGCACATGTTTATGCATAGAATAGATGAAATGTAGTTAGGAGTGGGATTCAGAGCTAGAGTTTCGACTTGTATATGACTCGTAAAATGGATGTGGTTCCATCCTAGAGTTGGTGTTCACTCCGGGGTTCAGACCCAATACCATTCACTTTAAACGTCAGTGTTTTATCCGCTTCCACTCGGTTACTGAGTCCAGATAGCAATTTACTTTTGTAACGGGTATTTCCGATTACTGCTTATACTCTTACTACCTCTACTACAACGGGATTTGAGTCGACAACTGCATCTCTGTACTACTGTAGTATGGCAACTCGAACTGATGTACATAGGTACAAAGTTCTACATTTTTACTGACTGACTAACTGACTTGCAACCGGTATGAATTTTAATTTTATCTGTTATGTTTGTAGTGATCTCGTTATTTATATTTTGACTGAATTTCGGTCAGTCAAATAAATCTCGTAGTGGACATCAACTCTTGGATGCAGTCAGACCCAACTGACAAACACTAAGTGGGTCGAAAAGCACGTTTTGAACTCCACTTCTAAGCACACTCCGTTTGTTCTATGTAAAATTAGGAACACTACTTCCCAAGGTATATATATATATATATATATATACAAGTTGTCGAATTCCTTTCATATTGACACCTGACTGATGAAGTATTCACTATTTGACAAAACTACAATGGTTTATTGTTCAATAAACCAACTGATATATAGCAACTAATTTCATATTACTATCCGTAGGATAAAATGTCTGTATCAGTAATTCCACTGCTGATCTATGCATCGTTTTATTAATGGTAATGATGATAATAGTAGCAATACAAATAATTCATCAAGTACAGGCTTTATACACTCGATTTTAAGCTTCACTTTTATTATAATGGATCAACTTAACTCCTTAAACTAAGATACATATAACAGGGTTCGTGTTTAAAACACTATAAATTAAAAGCTAACTGCTTCATTTAATTAATCAATTAATTGCTTCGCTGCACTACGTTTGCATTTAGAAGTATATGCAATTGACAATTTAACACATATCATTTCCGCATTAAAAAACTGTTTATTCTAAACTGAAATAATGTTTCGTTCTTAGTTCATAGTATTATCTGTTTTATACGTGTTGAAGCCTGGTTGTATAGTATTTTTTTCTAAAAAAATGATAATTCGAAGTGCATAATTTATTCATTCATTCACCCACTCACTTATTCGTACACTGATTTGTTCATTTGTTATGTATGAATTTCATAATAAGAGTAGTGGCATCAAGGATTATTTATCATTATTACTAGCCTTTTTTCATTTTGTAGATACATAGTTACGATAGCAATAATATTATGCCTGGTTTAACATGTTTTACACTGTTTAATATATATATATATATATATATATATATATATATATATATATATATATATATATATATATATATATATATATATATATATATATATATATATTCATGCTCGTTGCACAAGTCAATTGGTATCTGAGTTCAGTAGCTAAGTGGATAATGCATATTGTGTGTTCTAGGCGGAAGGTACTGGGTTAGAGCCCTTCAGTGTAAATATTATCATATTCAGATGTGGGTACATCCAACTGATGAGTTTCGAATTGAACAAAAATTAGCTTTCACTGCTACCCACAATTAATCTATTTAGTAAAAGCTTGCTATATATCGGGGGGATCCACACAAAATTCACATGTACTAAGATTTTTTTTTCGAAATTCATTAGACATTATCAAAATGGGATAATTCAAATCACTACAAATCAAACTATCTATTTTCTTATTTAATTCATAGTCACCAAGGCTTAATATGCGTCATTGTATTCATAACTATATATGCATATACATGCGTGTAGATAAATGTCTTTGTAAATAAGTCTGTTATTTCATTTATTCAGTATGTTTTTATTTTAACGTTGATGAAGTTAATTTCCATTTCTTTATTCGCTACCTTTTTTATGTTCATATTCTTCAAACCAGTTTAAATATGTACAACTATATTTTATACTTGTTTAGACAGCTTTTTTTATTAAAAGAAAACTAGTTAATTCCTTTTAGTCATTGTTCCCCTCATAAGAAAGCTATATTCTATGGTGTTTAAAACACTTGTTAGTCAGTAATAGTGTAAATGTATGACCATCTATGGGTGTGTGTGTGTGTGTCTATTATGTTTGAGATAACATCAATAAATCTAATCAATCTGATACCGGTATACAACAATCGCCTTCTCTTTTAAATATAAGCTACTCTAAAAGATAAATATTCTAAGGAAGATTACTTTGGTAGAGATTAGAGAAAATTTATTTATATTTCTATGTATTCGATAATGTCAATTAAATTTAGTGATTATTAGTTAAAGAATTTAACAAATTGAACTAATGTTACATGAATGAAGAATTGCATTGGATAAATTTTCTCCGAAATCGCACATCAGTTCAGTGAATAATGATGTTAAGTTTAGGACACGGATAATAATCCCGGTTACAATGAAAACATATCGAAATATAGGAAATACAGTTTAAACAAGAGGCAAATAACATATTGAAGAATAAAATGTTAGGAATGATACTATCTTAAAATTTCTACACGAATATCACTACCACCAGTTTTTACGTCACGACACACAACTAACTATTTAAGGTGATAGCTATTGTTAATGGGATATATATATAGGTATGATAGAGTTTGAATATACAAATTAAAAGCATTTAATACACAGTGACACAGATGCACTGAATTCTTACTTCTCTTTACACCTTGAGTACCAATATTCTACTTTACATACCTTTTCATTCAGTCTTTACAAACTATATTCTCAATGTTCAACTTTTCTCAGTATCATTTCAATTTCTTTACTATTCAGCTTGTCTGTTATTTCATTTTGTCTTCTCAACTCGGTAGTGGCAATCTTATCAAGTTTCTATCAGTCTCTATTTCAAATGATTATAACTAACTGAAAAACTCAAATCTAGCTTGGGAGTGACAGTAGCCCTAGAAGAGCTACGTGCAGAGTTGACTCAAATCTCCATGAAATATATTAAACGAAAGTCAAGTTAATAAATCTTTGCACATGGTAAATGATTTATGCATATATATCATAAATCATTACCTCAGTCCAAAAGAATGTAGGTAGGTCATAATTATTAATGATTGTTAGATGGTGGTTGGAGGTAGTCAACGGGAAACCCTGGACTCGGGTTTCGTGCTACTTGGCACTCGTAAGCAAAGTGTACCTGTAATCTTGAGGGAACTGGTGCTCCCTGACGGGATCGATCCCGTATTTCCTCAAGATTGCACGCAGTGTTGAGTCACCTAGACTAGTGGCCACATTGCAACTTGGTCGATAGCATTCGATCTGCACTAAGAAGGACTTCACACATGACATTGATCACCACCCAGTAATCAATCAATTCTAATAATGATTGTCTTGATACTAATATGTTTACATGATATTTAATGTGTAGGATATGTGTTATTTGGTTAAGTTTTGAATGATCTCACATAAGTTTAATGTATACGTATAAATGAGATAGTTTCTTTCTTTTTTTTTCTTCTATTTTTAATGTCATGTGGTGTGTAAAATCCAACAGTATGTCTAATTTGTCTCTTCTTTAATTATTTATTATACCGTGTGTTACGGAATAGTTTATTTGCTTTTTTCTGTGTATATATAATCATTAATGCCATTCCACATTATAAACTATCCGCTTACTATGTTACGTTTTTTTTAAAGTCAGTAAACAATGTACAAATGATTTGGCATTTTAAAACACAGAATTCTATCTTATATATATATATATATATATATATATATATATATATATATATATATATATATATATATATATATATATATGCTTCGATGAATTTGTAAACAGATTACTTATTTGTTTCTGAAAACATAGTAAGTGTGATTGAATGATATTTTTCTTTTAGATTCGCCAGAAGACTAGCGATAATAACTATAATGTATTGAGGTTATCTTTGTTATAGTGCATTCACTGAACAACTGAATAACTTTACAAATGAGTACAATCGTTCAGCACTGACTTGTTAGATGGTTGGAGATAGTTGATGGGAAACCCTGGGACTATGTTTCTTGCTAATAGTTGATACTTTTCAGCAAGACTTACCTGTAGTCTTGAAGAAATTCGAAAGGTTATGTAGAGGTCATGGCTAATGAGTCATTGAAAGTATTATAAATTTACTAAGCCAATAAAGTCAATAATAGTTATTGTAAAAACGGTTAGCTCGAAGGAAGCAGAATAAATTTAGTTGTTTCTAAAATGACTTAATAACTTGGAAAATTTTCAGGTTTAGTTCGATTAATGTATTACGTATAATAATGATATCTTGATACTTGAAAATTTACTGACCTTCAATTGTTTAGTCTTAGGTGCAAATCAATAAGTTCTTTAAATCTTTTTCATTATTATGCATAATTTTAAATTTAAACATTGAAATTCAATGTAAATTCTATTCTATTCTTTCCCTCTTTTTCTCTACCTTTCAGTCACAGACATCTACATCAAATGATTTACTTCGTCATCGCCGACATCATCACCATCATCATAATCACTACCACTTTAATAATATTCATCAACATCCAGCATTGTGTGCTTATAAATCGCATTGTGATACCAATCATATGTCGTCTACCATACATTTATCACCGAATCACGAAAAAGATACCAAGTCAATAGTAAATACTACTATTACTGATGGTATTAATAAACTTTCTTCCATAAAACCTAATAATAACAGTAATGGTAATAGTAATAAGCATTATCATCATCGTTCATATGAAGTAAACAATAGTACTAGTCTTCATGAAGAAACTAATCATAATGATGTTCACTATCGAGATGATGAAACTCCCACTCCTCCTCTTCATCATCATAATCCTTATTGTTTTACACTCAATCTATCAACTCATACAATTGCAACATCAAATTCTCCTATTGATAACACATTGATATCTTCAACTCGGTCTCATCATCATAGTCATAATCATTCCTCATTGACTACAATCCCTAAAAAAGAACATAGGTATTCACAAGAAAGTATTCAATCCCCACCGGAATATACTTCAATGATAAGTCCAAAAAATCATTCTAGTGGAAATAATATTACATCTTCATCATCACCACCACCACAAGATTATCGTTCAATGTCGGTACCAGGGATATGGAGTTCGCGAACCAAGGTAATTTATTGTTCTCTCTCTCTCTCTCTCTCTCTCTATATATATATATATATATATATATATATATATATATATATATATATATATTTATTTTAACACATAGATATTGGTACAAGGAGGCACCAAATACATATGCGCCACACAAATCTCATTCTATATGTGTGAGGGCTGTGATACTGCCCGGGTGCCCAAACCGAAGCACGTGGTTTTCTTAGGGGTCACTCCCCGAGCCTTTCGACCTGAAGGTCTGGTCCACAAGGCAGTGGAGCATCGTGAGGAGGTGCAGTCCCATGGTAGCCGGTAAACAACGATTGATTCATACGCCATTTGTTCCCTCAGGATACTGGGGCCATGTGTATCATTGTTTTGGAATCCGGTTAAAGCTCCGGATATTCGCTTTTCGTCCTCTCATTTTCGTAAACAACACCCTCTCCACGAGAACGTTTAAAATGATGGTGAGAAATCATCTTTTGCAATTATGAGGTGAAAATGATATTGTTATACGTATCAAATATCTAATTCTGTTTCTTTAGCTTGTGTGTGATAGGCGAATCTACACTACCACAAATCTTGACTGTTAACCTTGAATCCTGAAACAAACCTGATTACACTACAGTTTATGAAGGAAGCAATAATATAACACTTCTAATACTCCTTGAGCGAATTTCATTTATCTGTTCAGGCATAACATTTTTATTTGCACCGATCTCCCTTCTGAAGATATTCTCCTCTTTTTAAATTATATCTCATATACCCTTGATTTTGTTCATGGTTGTTTCTAGTATTAATTCATTTGATTCAACCCCTCTACTATCATTAATTTTCTTACTTCATTCACACTATAATTTATTGTTGACTTGTTAATTTTACAATGCTTTAATATGAACACCCATAATCTTTTCTTGTTATTGTTTACAATACGTAATCTTTCTATAACATCATCATGTTTATTCATTGCTTATATGAGCTCATGGAATGAATGTTTAAAATTTCGTTGTAAAGAGATCCCTTCGCTGATCTCGGTGTTTTTAAATGTCTGAAAAGTCAAAGAAAACGTTATTGTTGAACAAGGTGAATGTTTATTAACTCAGTGCTTGATATTACCACTACCATTTTCTTTCGATTTGGTTTAAAGTCGTTTTTTAATTCATTTGATCTTTTCTGGCGTTTTACTATTTCGTTTTCATTCCTATTCTCTTTTTTTCCTTCCTTTTTCCCCCATATTCCTAAACAAAATAGAACTATGATTTGTATGTGCGTGCGCATTTTCACGATACCTTATTCTTTATAAGCTTGAGATTATACCACATCAATAATATTGCTAAGCAATATTAGTGTTGTTTTGTTAGTTTTATTTCCGTTTGTTATTCGTCACCCTCTCCCCTACCTCCAACTTGTTGTTATTGCTATGTTTATCATCGTTTTATATCTCAAGGTCACGATGACTTGGTTATGTCGATTGCTAATAATATTAACAATAATTATTATGATTGACTACTTTGATCGTTTAACATGTGTTGGGCTTGTTAAACTGTAATATGTTTTTTCGAGAATTTTTCAACTTTAATACTTCATATGCTGCGTCGTAGGTTTAAACTCTGTTCACTTTACTTCGATACAGAAAAGTGAATGGCGTTATTAAACCTCTCAAAGTCAAGTATATAAGTATGCACCTGGTAAATAAACTGAATAAATGCACCACAACACTCTACACATGACATAAGACAAGTATTTTCAATAATTCAATATGTCATATTCCTGTTTGTGTATGCATATCAAAGTCATAATACTTGAAGATAGTTTTCGTCATTGACTGATATCAGTTCAAGAATTATTGAGCAACGGATGATCACTGAGACACAAATAGTGCGATTGTTTGTCCAAGGCAAAAATGTGTTCCCGTGCAATGTCACTTGGAGGTTCTTTTACTATCTTTATATTTTTTTCTCACTTAGCCATTGTATGGATTAATGATCTAGTGGATAACGCATTTCACTTTCAGTCTCTGAAATGTATACTCTTGAATTTTGTTCCACCTACTTTTGTCATCGATTCATGAAGTCATTGACCGTTGGTCTGAATTATGTAAGTAGATCAAGACTATTTGGTTGAACTTCTACGGGGACAACTTTGGTCAATAGCTGGAGATTTCAGGTGACATGGTCTAGAATCGGTCGCAATGTCGCGGATTTATCATCTCAGTCTTCTTTCATACACGACCTTTCCATTCTGTCTATTTGAACGGGATTCTCAATCAGTAGTCTCTCTCGTTATCATTATTACTGCATTATTTCTGTCGCTATGTCATTAGTTTCGTTAAGTTCATCTCGTCATAAAAAATCTGGTGTGGGGACTTGGGTTAACACTCAATTATGTTATACCCTGGGTGGATTATAATTAATTTGAAGGCGTATAGTATCACTGAGTTTTGCAAAAAATGTGTTTATGTGTATGTTGAGTACATGAATCTACAATTGTTTACTGAGTATTTAATGATTTTTATTTATTAGTTTATTCCCTTTACAATTTAAACTGTCTTTCAAAGAAACTTTTTGTCTTGTTCATTGTTTAAGGTAAACAAAATAGTTCACCCTAAATTAAGTTTTTTGTTAAAAAAATTAAGAAAGAAAAAGAGAACAGCTTCACATTTCATTAAACTTTATTCTTTATGTAGCTTGACTGAATTAAGGCCAATCAACTTGTTAACTTATTCCATTGAAAACTTAATATTTACACTTCATTTTCATTAAAAATTACAACTAAAGGAAACGCTTGATGGTGTTGTCAATTTGTGAAATTATACATTTTTAAATAGTGGTTAGCAGCAGCGAAACCTATGACGTGTATTTTACCGTAACTGGGATTTATTACCTAGTTGTACTAAGGTGGTGGTGACCTAGTAGATTTAGTATAATAATTGGAAAGGGACTCGGACTTATTACACACGACTTGATAATAGGTGTGATTGGCACTGTATAAACTTTATATCTCACTGAGCCATGAAATAGAATAATATTAAACCTGACTGATTGTGAAGAATTTATTCTAGGGAAAAACACCACTTATTCATATACAGTTTCACTTTGCGGTGAACATTAGTTAAATTTAAATAACTATAACTATAAATCATAGTGAATGAATGCATAACAAGAATTATCCGTATACAGTAGTATATCATAATGAAATAATTAATAACTGAAATTATCCGAATACGCAATCAAACGTTATGTTAAACGGTTATCATCCTGTGTTGGTGACTTAGTGGTTAAGATGCTTGACTTTTAGCCACTAAGTCCCAAGTTCGAACCGCACTCTATCTACTTCAGTCTGGGCAACAGGGTTATATCGTGAGTCTTTATAATTAAAGTGTGGCTCATACCTATGTACTTGGTGAATTATTTAATTAAATTTTAAGAAACAGTCCTAAAAAATTCATGATCTCACTTTTTCGCTTTCTATCACAAACCAACGTTCTTATTTTACCACGCCGATATAAACTTGAACCCCAGTATTTATCATTTCAAACATCAATGTATTATTTGGTAAGCTATTGAATCCATAAGTTTATTAATTCGTTTAAAGTGTGTAATATATATCATTATTAGGAAGCGATTTTAAATTTTTCATTGTTAATATTTACTACTAAATTTGAACTTGTATCTACTTGTCCTGTGCATCCAGGCACTCGTTCAAGGCATCTGTGTATATGCTTACAGAGATACTAACCAAACTCTTGAATATGAATATTAGTAAGAATACAAACCCTCTCTATTAATTGTATGAAAAATAAGTGATATCAGTGGTACTGGACCAGTGATATGACAGATTTAATTCGATTTAAAGTTATTATGAATAGAATCCTATATTACGTAGTTGATAGGAGACCCTTTACCCAGATTTTGTGCAGGTGACATATACTTATCAGCAGAGTACACCTACAGTCTTAGGAGAACTGATGTCTCCTGTTGGATTCGAGTCAACTTGGTTCGAAGTTTGGAAAGTTTCTGCTTCATTTTTCCAGGCCTCTACTGCCCTCCTGTCTAGATTTTTTCATTGTCTACCTTCAATCACCTAGGGTTGGTTTTTATCATATTCAGCTTTAGTTTGTTCATCAAATACCGTTATATTTTTAATTTCTGAATGAAGTCTCGTTTCTTATAATATCAAAGCAGGTTCATTTATCTTTTTTCTGTAAAATGAACAAACTCTTTCTTAGTGTAGGGTTTTTTGAGATTGTTTGGATTTTGTTGAAATGATGAACCGAAGGTCCTTTGTCAGAGTCTCGCATGCGAATCGTGAATATAAACTGCTGGAACGTCTCATGCTAGGGCTAAACGGCCGTCCGGTGTTTCCAGGTTTTTAATGGTGAGCTAACACTGATCGGTTCGTGATCTATATCATAGTATGCTTTACATTTCTAGTTAGTGTTTGCTTAAACCAATATGAATTTGAAGCGTTACATATTATCATTACGGTCCTATGTTGTAATTATAACCTATTTACATTTTATACTTTCTCATCACTAGTTCTGAGCAAATTGTTTGAACCTGAGTTCTTTTCCTCTCAGCGGGAATTAAATTACTTTCAGTGATACATTAAACCATTCTACAGATTAAGCGCTCTACTGGAGACTAAAAGTCCTGGGTCTGATCCCCTGTGATGGTGTCGTGAATAATGCACTGCTGAGGGAAGAATACCATACTAGACCGAAACAGCCGTCTAGTACTTCTAACTTTTCCATAGTGGTCTGTGATACAAACTAAAAAGAATTTTTATGTCATTTAGAGTAACAGGTAAAACAAAAAAAACAGGATGAGAAAGCTATGGAGAGAGAGTGTGTGTGTGATTGAGAGCAGCATGTAAATTGAATTTTAATGCTGACATTTCTCTTTATTTATGTGTGCTTGTTTGAGCGTAGCGCAATAAACTGATTTATGCATTTATTTTCTGTTTTTCTTCTTTTCTTATTATATTTTAGCCGGATATTATTTCACCGCAAAAAACTGACAAGATAACATATGGTAAGTATAAAGAGTGAATACATGAATGATTGCGCTTATTCATACAATTCTTTTTTTGGGGGGGGGAAGAGAGAAGTGAACTAAAGGAATTTTTATTATTTTTTCGAGATTTGGTGTTTAATAACTTAATTTTGTCTTTCAAATTTGTTAGGTGGTAAGTTTACATTTGAAATTGTACAGTACTCACGACTTAATGTTTAAAACCAATTCAACTACCAAAGACCACTGAGCTTTGAAGTTGAGAAACCTTTCTATCTTTTTTTTTTGCAGTTGTGTTTCATACATTGGCTTTTATACACAAAATGTCGTAACTTAAACCAAGTATACCCACTTGGATCACGTCATTTAGTAGTTGCGTTTACTGGGCTGTTCAATGTACAGTTTAGCATCTAGTAAGAGACGAATTGTATAGTACCGTTCGAAGATTCGTCTTTCCCCCAACCCATAGGCTATTTGTTTTACAGTTGTGATAAATTTCAGAAAGTTTCCATATTTTAATTAATTACTGACTTAGTTAATCCACTTGTGGATTAATTTAACAAGTCATTTTTACGTGAGATATGCTTTGATGGTTTTGTTCATAGTGACAATAAAAGCTTGACGATTAAATAAATTCAACTCAAAAAACAAAATGCAATCAAAAGTATCCACTTGAGCTGAAATCATCTTAGTCATCTTCATAAAACCTTACAATCTATCGTTTGCCTAAGTACTGCAATATTTAAATGCGATAATAGTTGATATATTTTTCAGTTTGTCTATCTTTTAAATAAATGGAAGATATTTGCATGAAGGTTCATCTAACGAATGTATATACTACATGGAAATGTCAGTAGATAGGGATTTGTTGGAATGTGTCGTGTTTTATGTTATGAATTCCTTACCGTAACCAAATATATGTTGAATGTAACCAAGTATTATTAACATATGATTAATTTCTTGTTATCAACTATATTGGTTGTGGAATTTATCGTGGATAGTCAACTACCACTTATATTGAGGAAGTCACTATAGAAGTGGGTCAAATGCTATGAAAAATTCATGGAAGGAATTTTTTTCATTGAATTTCCTCACTGAATTGTCTTTATTTTGTTTATTGACCCAATAAACTCAATGTTTCGTTTTTTGAAAGTTGCATAGATTGATAAATTAATGACATCAATTAATCATCCACTTTGCGAAACAATACAGTTTTAGTTTTAATCTTTACAGAAAAGCTTACCCATCATTGATAAAATGAATTCTGACAAAGTAGTTCATTATCAGTTACATCTGCAATACAACCGAAAATTAATGTACAATAGATAATTGTTTGATAGATCGCTATCAGTATAAGTTTTAATACCGAAATTGTTCTTTTTGACTAAATAAAAAGAAAAAATGAAATGTTCATAATGATCAGAGAAATACTTTTACAGTCTGATAAGTATTGTGTCTGTCTATAGAAGTTGATTTCACTAAGAGTGAAGAAAATGGAAAACAATTGATTGACCATTGTGAATACCTCGATTAGTAAAAGAGACTCATCTGTTCACCAATTATAATTATTAATTTTTCACTAAACACCACCTTCCTTGAGAAAGGTTGAACATTTAGAATATGGTTCAGAAAGACTAATTAGAAGGGAATGTATGAAGAAATACTGGAACTCAATATCTAAGGTAAAATTTTAAAAAAATGCATCTGAGCCATATCACTTTAATTTATCACTGATCTCGATTATCGCGGTGACCTCAAAAAGGTAGTTTACATCTACTAACATGGTTTAGATCGACACTTGTTTGTTTTTGATTGAGATCATGAACCGATTGATGTTAGACCACCACAATTGAAACCTAGAAGCACTGGACGACCGTTTCGTCCTACCGTGGGACTCCCCAGCAGTGCGCATCCACGATCATGCTCGCGGGATTCGAACCCAGGGCCTTCGGTCTCGCTGCAAACGCTTAACCAACTAGACCACTGAGCCGGCATCGAATGGTGATAGTTTCTAACATCAACCAATCCATCAAGATGCGCGACCATCTTCCATTGTACTGAGGTAGACACCTGTTTCTACCCAACACGGATTAGCTCCACTGGTCACGGCTTCTCACTAGAACCTCGAGAATTCCCTCACGAAGCTAGTCACTAGTGAGCACATGTTGATTACTAGTATAGGGGTTGTGGAGATTATTAAGTTTTTGATTGAGATCATGAACCGATTGATGTTAGACGTGAACGTTAAGGTAGGCGTTGGTTAGGAATACAGTATATATATCTCAATCACCAATAATATTAAATTAAACAGTTTGTAATACATAATAAAGTTAGTATTAATTTTCACCACAAACTGTCATGAATTTAAAAATCGTTGAAAACTAGTGAGCACTGATAGTTGTCATTGTTCTAGCTTAAGAAGTTTGTTTATTCTACACATTCTGTAACCTTCGAACCAGAGATCTTTATATCTTGCATCATTGAATTTGAACTGATTCATACCATTACCGACATCAGTTGATATGCTATGTAGGGCAACCATCATCCATGATATTTGTTTATTCTTTATAAAATGGTTATCAGTTCCATCAGTTATAACGGTTCTTAATAGTTTTAAAAACAACTTCACTTTTTTCTTACATTTATTTAGAAAATAAGTCACACTTTAATAAATTTTGTACGCGTAACAGTCAATATTCTAACATGATGTGTGTATCTCCTCAGTGTCATTCGGAGTCCAACTAGTACTGCGGGTTATATTTTGTTTCTATGCCTAAAACTAATAACACATTTTTAAAATATTGATTTCATAGTGAATAGCAAGAGTTTGTAGCGCAGTACCTATTTAGGGTCCTCCTGATCATTGTAACCAATGGTGTTAGAGATTAAGTGATATGGTTAAGAATTGTTCGCAGTGCCATGAGTACATTCACTCTTTATCTCCCTTTAGATCTTAAGTCCTTAAATTTCCTATGCATTTAAAGAAAGAACAACTTTACTAACCAATATTTTCCTCTCGAAATGTACCTTAAAACGCTCATCTTTTCTATTCCCATTAATCCTGTTAATACTTCTACTACCCTAGGATTTGCCCTGACAATTTTACTTCACTATGCTAATGAGATATGACAACTTGAGCCGATTTATATATCTTTAGGTTTCTATGTGGCGTTTGATTGTTTGATTGTATTACAAACAATGGATACACATATATTTTATAGTTGTTAACTGTAGTGAACAAATAAAAATATTTCATAATAATGTTAATGATAAAAGTAAGATTACATGAAAAAATTCTACAAAAGAAAAGAAATTTAAAAGAGAACTACATTATGTACATATATACGTCAATGTACTACAGCAATTAATATGATATGGTAATTTATCATTATTATTATTATTAGCTTTGTCCAATATTATATTTTTGGTACTATATAGAATTCCCAGCACGAAGTATTTCAACAGGTTTACGTTTCTTATCTCTTGATCGATCCTGACGACAAATATTGAGTGATCACCAGTTAGATGTTAACAGTTCAGGAATCGACATCTGAATAATATGCATTATTTTTATGCATATTGCTAGAAACCATGATGTATTTCATTGTGTTGTTTTGCAACTTGTATAGCGAAATGTCGTAAACTCTTCATAGACGCACTTGAATAGGCCATGCGATTAATCGACATAATTATGTGTTAAAACAAACAAACAAACAAAAACAGACAACTTGTTGAATTATCTAGATGTTAGGAACAGGTAGTATAGATATTCAAGCGGGCTTCTGGATACTAAATGAAGATATAAAACAGTAACAAAGAAAAATAACTCAAAAGCATATATCTCATCATCGCTAACAACAATAATCATGGTTCTCCATATCATTCATTATTATGATTATAACCATCTTCATCATTTAAGTACAAAGTATTATGATTTGTCTGGGTGTGTGTATGTATGTGAGTGAGTCCGTATATTTCTTATTGTTTTTCTCGTTGGTGTTGTTATCATCTTCAGTGGTAATCATGAGTACATGACTGATCATGTGCGTGTTTGAAACAAACACAATATAATCAATCAATCAATTATTATTATTATTTATTTATTTATTTATTTATTTATTTATCCATTGTTTTCTTAGGGAAATGTGTTTTGTTTTCATTCAATACGTCTATTTATTAGTTAGTGTTTGAATAAGTTATGTTTTGTTTCGATTATTCATCTATTTATTCACATCTTTTTCTACTCTTTAGTTTGTCTTATTTTCATTATTGTGTACATACAAAAAAAGTTTAAATTATAACAGAAAAAACGACTAATTATTGAGAAATAGTTTCTTAATTCCCTTGACATATTTGTGTTAGTGTGTATGTATGCATTGTAACTATATAGACTCTTTTGATTTCTTCTTTCTCTTGATGTTTTTTTCTAGTTAGTTGTTAATATGTTATTGAATATTCGATGTAACTTATATACTTTGAACAATATTGTAAATAATAGGTAAATATTAGTAATATATACAATCGGATAGTCTATAACATTAACCTAATATCGATTAAAGATATGACTTAGTGTTTAAAGCAATTGACTTTCATTTATTAGATTGTTACAGTTTTAAATTATGCTCTTCATAGTTTTGTTTGGCTGACCAGTACCAGTTTTATTAGCTGTTATAATCTACTGCGATCAATAGTCGAAACGACTGATTATGGATGAGAATCCGTGATAAATACAGTTATTCTTCAAATCATTGCAGACCTTGAATTCCAGTATTGCTTTATGCATAGTTTTTCATCCATTCAGTCGTTCTTATTATCATTGTTATTACATTTCCTTGCCAATAATCTTGTGTTATTGATGTAGTATGGCAGCTTGTGGTAATACACGTATCTACCAGTTTCTATTTTATTCATTATTGACTGATAGAGGCTCAAAGTGATATTTCTCTATGTTCAAAATACATTTGTTAACTTGTACTTGTTAAATGAGTTATTGAATCATAGATTTAGGTCCCAATTCATCATTTGTTCTGATTTGAATGCCTAGCTACCGTCGTTAATAATTCCCACATGCGAAATATACGTCTCATAACTGAATGGGTCACATAAATTTCTGAAAAGTCATAACTTTACTGTCATTCCGTAAGAACTATTTCCTCTGTTGTCAAATACTGTTTTTCTTACCATAAAATAAAAAAATAACCATCCTGTAACTACAGCTTATTGCGTATTTTGGAGTTGCTGTATTCTCTGGGCTGGATAGTTCTATCGTGAAGGTTTCGTTTTCTTTCTATACAACGTACTTTTTAATGTGAAATACACTTCTGATAATTACTTCATAATATATGTGAGTCTAGGCTTATATCTGGTGAATGATAGGTGATATATATGAATTCTCATTACAATTTAGTTGATAAATTCTCTTGAGTAAAAAATCTCTTTAGATTATAGAATTTATCCTCTTATTCACGGTAGTATCCATATATTTTGCCACTGCCATTGCGACCGTTAATAATTATAATTTATACGAACGAGCCGAGTACTGCGGTGGTGGGGAATAATTATTTCACATAATACATGAATAAAGAGGAAACTATGGTTGCTAACTCCAGAAATTTGGATCTTACCAGGCTACAGAATATCAAAAAATTGAAATTTAACATTTCACTGAAAAGAATTAATATTTTTAAGAAAAAAACCTCGCTATTACTATCCATATGTTAAAAAAATGGTTCAGACTGGTAGATTTATTTTGTGATGCTAATAATTTTTTCTCCTTTTTCTGTTATGCACTGATAATAGTCATGGGCACACTAGTGGCTTACTTTGAGATGCGATTCCTGGAGTTTAGCTAAAATCAGTGACTAGTGAAGCTTAACCTTCTTGGATGTAAATCAGTTACCCACCGCAGGCGATGGAAGATGGTCTCTCAATATTGTAGACTGATTAAAGTTAAGCGTTTACAGTATTTGAACTTGATACTGAGGTTTCTGGTTTCGAATCTCGGATGTGTTGGGTCGTGGTGAATAATACTGAAGAGTCCTATACTGGGATAAATGGTCATTCAGTGCTTCTAGGTTTTCAACGGTTGTCTAACTAAGATTAGTTTGTGATTTAAAAGCTATTAAAATGCATTACTCCTAGTTAGTAGTGAGTTTTTGGTTTTTCTAAATTCATTTTTTATTCATTTATTCACCTATTTATTGATATGATTTTTGTAGGTAACAGTTGTGATACTGATAGTGTTAAAATAATGCCAAAAATTTCTGTTCCATCTGAAAATCTTAAACGATCCGACTCAATCAATAGTAGTAAATCTCATTGTCATCAATTTAGTGTAGCCGCTCTAACTGATGAAGTTATGCATTCCTCTGCTCAATCAGAAGAATCCAAGTCACAACCGATTATTATATCCAAATCTCCAAAACATCCAAGTGGTAAAAAGCGAACTTACAGAAAATCAGAACAACGTGATATCGTAAATACTGTATCCGATAAATATTCACATCGTCGTAATGAATATGATAAATCTTTTGCGTATTCCAAATTTGACAATTCTACACGTGTAAACCGGTGCACAGGTGTAGATAACAATGGTAGCAATAAATCTTGGAATCCAACAATCAACGATTCGTTAAAAGGAGCATTATACTTTCCTACAACTGTTGGCACGAACCATAATTGTGAACGAATACATGAAACGGTTTCAAAATATTCTCCAATGACCAATCATAATTTTAATTCGACACCATTTTCTTTACGTAATCCAGCTGATTCTCTTCTTGCTCATTCATATCTACCACCAAGAGGATTACAAGAACCTGCAAGTTGTGGTTCACAGATCAGACCTCTATCATCATCATCATCTGCACACTTAGTACCACCTTCAGTCCCATCATCAATATGCTCGAACTCATTTTTTTCACATCAAACTTTATTAAAACAGTTTATGGGTATTGATTCAGAAACTGCTAATCAATTACTCAATGATCCACGTTTTATGGAATTGTATGCACTTACTATGGCTACTCTAAGTAATAATGTTGATGGTGTTCCTGACTCCATATTACCACCACCAGTGTCACGAATTTCTTTACCTAATCATGCCAATACCATAATATCAACATCGGTTAACAGTGGTAATCAAAATAATAATTCTTGTAGTCGATTTAAAATGGAAATACTGTAGGACATTTACGAACAACTGATCCTTCACAATTCGGAGAAACATCGTAAGTTGTTGTTCCAGTTTAATTTGAAACATTTAACTTCTTATGGATTTTTCATCTAGTTTTCCTTAAACATAAATGTTTTTAATTTAGCTTTACAATTAGCTATATACCATCACTGATACAATGTAGCAGCTAATTTTTACAGCATGTTAATCAATTGCCTTAATTTTTTTAGGTTTACATAATACTACTTAATTTAGTAACTATTGGTTGGTTCACTTAATCTTCGACATTTCATTATTCCCATAGTTTATGAATGATCAAAACTTGTATGTTTAATGATCCATTGACTAATTAATTAACTGGTCCCATACAGTTTTTACATTTGTTATTGGTCACACTTTACAATAAAGCATGTGATGAATGAAGGAGCAATGGTTGTATTTGTGACTTAATTAGTTGTGTACTTCTAATTATGGAAATTTGACTTTATATTTGTTCGTTCCGTCCAGATTTCTGTTATTTCCTAAAATTATAAGATAATAATTATCATTGTTTTGCATGTTTTTTTATGAGTGGTTATTATTTACTTTTTAAAGTTTCACATGGGTTTTGTGAATATTATAGTAATTTCAGTGGTTAAGATCATGAGTCAGTTGAAGCTAGGTTTTCCATGGTGGTCTAGCTTCAACTGACTCATGATCTTAACCATTGAAATTTTTAAAGTCTCGTTTATCTTCAACCATGGCGAAGAAACTCATAGGTTTTTCCATCGTTTTATATTTTCTGAATAATTACTGGATTATATTAGCTTGGTTGTTGAATTTCTGATTAATAAAATACCAATGTGCAGTCGGTTTAGTAGTTAAGACGTTCAAAATTCAGCCACTTAGTCTCTGGTTTAAACCGCACTCCACCTAATTTGTTTCGATAATCGGGTTAATATCATTAGTCTTAATACTTACTGTGTGGTTCATACCTAAGGACCTGTTGAATGAGTTAATTTATTCTATACTCAACACTTTGGTCATGTTTTGTGACATTTATTTATTTTACCATGGATCTTGGTACTTCAGTAGTTGAGCGATTGAATCCAGCAGCATTTATTTCAACACATAAATATTGGTACAAGAGGGCACCAAATATATATGCGCCACACCATATTTGTGCGTGTGTGGGCTGTGACACTGCCCGGGTGCCCGGACCGAAGCAGGTGGTTTTCTTAGGGGACCACACCCCGAGCCTTTGACCTAAAGGTCTGATCCACAAGACATTGGAGCATCGTGAGGAGATGTAGTCCCATGGTAGCCGGTGATCAACGATTGATTCATACGCCATTTGTTCCTTCAGAATACTGGATCCTATGTGCACCATTGTTTTTGAATCCGGTTAAAGCGCCAGACATTCGCTTTTGTCGTAGAAGTAGGTTGAAAGAAATCCATGGATGAATCAAATTAAGATACAACATAATTTCATAAAACTTTTGATAAACTCGTAAAAAAAACAACTTGGTTTTCTTTCATTTAAATACATACTATTTCTTTTTTTACTATTAAATTTCTGAAGAATGTTATTTTCATTTTATTATTCTTACCGAACAGTTATTTCACTTGATATTGTTTTTCTTGAATCTTCCCATTGATGTTTTTAGGACTGAAATTGATCAGTCTCTTATAGGCATATGTGCATACTGTGCGTATGCCTCGATATTGCCTTAATTTACAAGCATTATAAGCAAAGATGGATAGTGGCTAGCAGTGGAATCCAGGACGCGCGTTTCGTCCTGTTTGGGACTCGTCGGCTGGATGTACCTGCATCTCAGAGTTGATGTTCACTCTGGGACTCGAACTCAGTACCATTCGCTTCAAACGCCATCGCGTTATCTACTTAGCTACTGAGTCCTGATAGCCACTTGCTTGTGCAGTGGACGAAATGCGCGTCCTGGATTCCACTGCTAGCCACTATCCATCTTTGCGAACAGTTATTTGTTTATTTCCCACAACCAAAAAACAAAAGCAACACATATACACACAGTTTCACGTAACAAATTGAATTATCTATCTAAATGTGATATAAAGTAATAAAATTTTTTTTGTAAACTAATAGTTTTGTATACATTTCCTCCCATTGTAAATTACATTTAAATAATAATAGTAATAATAATAATGATACTGTTTATATCCTATCAGAATATCATGTGTATTACATTTTGGTGTGTGATTTTTTGTTGTTGTTGATACAAATGGTAATAATTAGAAGTAGTTCGTCAAATTTCTTTTTTTTTTTCAAAAAAAAGTATCCAATTTAATGTACATTTAAACATGGATATAAATTGTGGTTGGACAGGTTGTTTTGCTCTCCAGTCGATTAGTATATAGGGTTAGACAGATAGAGAGATCATTGTAATTGTTTTAAATGATAAGTGTTTTTCGATGCGTGCATGCCTGTATTTGCTTCGGTGTTTTTCATACGTTTCACATGCACATACATGTTTTGTATGTATGTGTGTGTGATATACACAATGCTAAAATGTTTAGAAATAGACATTAGAGGTTGACTTGAAAAATACTTAACAAAGTTAAAGTCATCAATTCATGAAGTCATTGACTGTTAGCTCTAGCGACTTTTTTTATAGATGCAGACTATCTGGTTCGGGTACACGTGATTATTGCAATCAGTGATTGAAGACTTCAGGTGAATTGACACAGCTTCTGTCTCAGTGATGCAGATGCACTCACTTTTTATATTCCTTTCGATCTTGGATTCCAGCTTTCCTTCAGATATATATTTCCACTTTGTCTTTTCGAACCATGTTCTCAATGTTTGGTTTTTCACATTATAATTACTGCTACATCATGTCAATTGCTTTGCCTTCCATCTGGCTATATTTATCGCATCGTGTTTGTATGATGTGACAAACTGAGCTAACATATGTGCTTTCCAGGCTCTATATTGGTGATGACTGTCTGACTGACCAAATGGAAGTAATTAGAGTGGGGTCCAGTTTTTTTTTATTGAAATGTTGAATGCTTTAATCGTTATGCTAGAGAACGAAAAGAAAAGAAACTAGAAATTCATTTCTTGTCAAATATAAGCGTTAAACTTTTCACTTTATTTATTTATGTCTTTTGTTCTCGTGCATAACTTTTTCATCTCCCAATTTATTTCCTTTTCTTTCCTATTATTGTCAAATTTATCGAGAAATTGACATCTTATAGTCTTTTCATTTTGTTAAAGACCTACCATTTAGATGACTACCTAAATCATACACATACAAACACCTTGTTTTCGCCTGACGTACGACTTCACTGGTTTTTTTTGTTTTTATAGCTTCGTACTCCAGTCTCTTGAGAACAAACTTATCTCTCGATAGCATTTTTTATAACCATAAACGTATAGTTTAGCTATTACCGTTATTCTTATTATCATTAGTAGTAGCTGTGGTAATGTCGTATAATGCAATTTACAAGTATAACTATAGTTTACACATCATTTTATATTATCATTGCTGTTGTCACTACAACTGCCAATATAACTCTGATAAACTGATTTTGTTTTATGTGTACATATCCATGTATCTCTGCTTAAGCGGACATATCAATCTATTTTACCCTATTACTGTTGATATTACAACCCCTCACACCCTTTCTGTGTCACTACGTCTACCGTTTTCTACTGTTGATATTTCGCATATGTATTGGCGGAAGTAAAGAAGAAAATTACGTGATGAATAATTCTATTATTACCATTCATCCATATCATTGTTTTCCTTATTGTCGTTGATATTACTATTGTTATTATCTTTATTCTTATTCTTCTTCGTTATGACGTAATTAATTATTGAGCAGGATTATATTACACTGTCTTAGCTTTTCCTTATATTGGGCAACTATAATAGAAAAAGGTTGTTGCACACAGTGAACAATAGCGTTGCGCTGTGTCAATAAAACCTAATAGGTATTGAGAGAGAAGAGAAAACCGATAAAAGTCCGATGATATCAGTTTTATAGGACAACATTAAAAAAACTTCATTATCATCAATTAGTTAGTGATACTTATAAGTAGAGTTTATGAGTCCCTGTTGACTTGAATGTTCTTGCACGTGTGTTATAAGTAACTAGCCACCCTTTGCTCAAATTCTTCTTATTGTCTAGCACAAGAGTGTATTTAAAGAACGCTGGGATCCACCACGTCGAGTCGTTGTGAGTTCATTTTAATACTGATAGTGAATGAATAGGTAAACAGTTTAACCCTACTGAATTAATCTAACAAAAACAAAAGTTACAAGATTTAACAGTTGTGAACTATGAAATGATAATTCCGTGGTATATAAATATTTTGATCATTGCGAGACATGATAACCCTGAGATCGATTACGTGTTGTGTTACAAATACACTCTATCGAAGATTTTCAAGCGAGGAAAAATAATCAACAATGGTTATTAATAGATATTACCTTAAAATTCTGGTAAATCTTTACAAAGCCACCTCAGTTAAACTAATGAATTTTTATTTTAAATTTTTTATCCACTGACAAAACGTAATGTAGTGAATATACTTATCGGTAGTAGTTATCCACAATAATCATTTTTTCTACGCTTATTTGTTTTCTGTAAAATTCATTGTGTTCAAAATGATTGTGATTTAGACATACATTTACAGGACTAGTCATAGTTATTTGGTGTACCAATTAAAGCTCGACATGAATACAGAAACTTGTTTTAGATTTAGCATCCAACAGGACTAGGGCAATTTTCATACAGTTAATATGCGTTGCCCTGCAATCTATTATTATACCTTACATCTGGGAAGCATAGTCACCTGAATTCGAATTAAATTACAAAAAAGTCATAGCTAAATAAGACTGACCATTTCAAGCAGAGATAGATAGTGGTTGGCGGTGGAATCCAGGACGTATATTTTGACCGATTCGGGACTCGTCGTCTGAATATATTTTCTTACTAGAGCCCCAAATAAGACGAAACACGCGTCCTGGATTTCACAACTACCAACCATTCATCTCTTTTGCTAAAAATGCTTGTGGTTTAATGGCAATATCGAGGCATTTTGCACAGGTTGCACATATCTCACAAAAGCAACTGTTCATTTGCAGTCCTTCACACCACTGTGAAGATTCAGACAGCCAATATGTATATATAATCTTACCGTTTTCTCGCTGGTGTTTTGTTTATCTTGCTGCTCCATATGGCAACTTGAATCTGTGTAGTTGTCTGTCAGTTAATATATCTGTTAGTCTAAATAACCACACACCGAGAGTTCATGGATAGACGTTTTGTTACACTGAAAAAAACTATAAAACGATGATAGATGTACAATAAATTATCATTCATTTTCAAAATACCTGTAATGATTTCGAATAATTGTTTTTCTTTCATGTTTGTGGATATATTTTAAGGTTATCTCATTGTGAACAACAAGTCAGTTTATCCAGCATTCAAAACAAATTATATCCCTATAGCAATATGATGATGCTTGGTGCTAATCGTCCCACACTAGCCCCTAGTACTGTTCCACAATCTTCACAGACCACATCTAGTTCGTCTAGAAACCGTCTTATCCCACCAAGTAAGTTATTATTATTATTATTCATAATTTTGCTTTGCATTTGAATAGTTACTTGTTAGGAGAATTTGATAATATTCTTTGCATACATAAAAACTAGATTCCTACTTTTTTTAAAACGCATTTTTCTGTCTTCACTTTTTAGGTATTTTTGTTTGTTTTGGTTCGATCCTGTTTTTTTTTAAAAGTATACTTTCCTTTGTTGTTTGTCGACTTTACCAATTTGTTTAGACTTCATGTTATAGTACTGTTTTTGCTTGTTTTTTGGTGTGTTTTATTTCACCTGAGCATAAAGTATTCTCATATCTAATGAGTAAATCTCTTCGTGATGTATTTTACGTTTTATTGAAAAATAGTAGATTTTGGATTTTCCAATAATCATTTTCCAGAGGTTTATCTGAGATACATCCTATTTATTGTGTGGAAGTTCTTGACATCATCAATTTTCCAAACTGTTTAGACACAGAGTCATTTTTATCCAATAAACTTTCAAAGCCTAGTGTAGAAATGTCTCATGGATTGTAAGGGATGGTTACAGAGTATTGGTTCCGTGATTAAAGCATTCAGCTTTCAACCAGTAATCTCTTCAGGCTTTAGCCTCGTCTCGCTTGTTTCAACTTAGACTGTCGAATAATTAATCACTGACTTTTATACTCGAAATAGTCTAACACAGAGTCCAATACATGAAACCTTCATTTAATAAATGAGTTTCATTTTTGTTGTTAGAAACGATCGTAAAAAACAGTATGACATCATTTATAATGCAGTATGATATGCATCTCGTAGGCGCTATTTATGCATAATATGATATAATGATAATACTTTTAAGGATAATTGTAATTAAACACCGTTATGTAATTTTAAAATATATTCACTTTTTTTTAAACATTCAACCTTGTTATATTTGCTAATCGCATTATACTTGGCAACTAGATCTCAGACATTATAAAGCTTATAGGAAACAGCCTAAAACCATTCCCTAGTATATTGAAAATGTCATTTCTCAGTAGATTGTTTTTAGTTGATGAAGACGATGCACGTATCTATTAGCATCGATCGTTCACATTATTCATCAATAAGACATATGCATTTAATATTATTTTATACATTCGTTCTGTTTTAGTTCAAGTTATGACACTCACTGACTGACTTAGTTACTCTGTTTGTTCATTTATGCATTGGTTCTAAAATATTATCATAATTTAGTTTAACTGAAATTCCGTGACATTTGTTTGATGCTTATTATTTGTATACAATTGTAGTGGATTCTTTTTTTAAATGTAAGTTCTTTTATGTGACACACTTAATCAAGGCATAATAATGCTGCTTATGTGTATAACAAATGTGAACAGTGATTTTTACATAGACCCTTTATATCAAATGATAAATGACTGTATTTCAGTTGTATATATGTGCATCAGTTATAATAATAATTTATCGTCCTTATAAAATAAATACCAGTGAAAGATAATGAAACAAAATGTGTTCATTTCTTATCTTATGTAGCTTATGCTATTGATCTCTGTGTTAAACATGATCAATTAATATGACATGCATTGTTCTGAAGTTATTATTTTACTATTTGTAAGTCTATTTTCAATTAAACTATTTAGTACACTCTGTAATATCTCTCAAAATTGTCACTTGAAGAAGTTACCCCGATGACTGAGCTATTAACTCTAAATTGAATAGGAGATTATTTTTCATAGGAGATATCAAAGATGTTTATTTCTTCTTATAAAAGGTGTTCATAGTGTTTGTAGTTGTAGCAATAACTTCAACCGATAATTCATTGTTGGCTTGATTAAATGACTGCAGATGTTGTTCGATGAAGCAGATAACCTTATTTTAAAAAATATCTCTGTAATAGGTGTGAGAATAGGAAAATATCAATGAATAAACATTTTATAACCTTTAAAGTATGAACTGATCTTAGCTAGACCACTATTAAAAAATCGGAAGAAATAGACGGCTGTTTCATCCTAGTACTGGTCTCCTCAATAGTAAGCATCGACGAAATTGGGCGAAGGATGAGGGTTGCACAATGTAGTGAATTATTTGAAGCTAGATATTAACACAGTTATATACCGGCGTCAAATAGAAATGCGCCACACAAATCATTGAAGTTGTGTGAGGGCTGGAATACAGCACGGGTTCCCAAAACAAATTAAGTGATTTTTAGAAGGCACCTCTCCGAGCTTTTGACCTAGGGGTCTAATCCATGAAGCAGTGGAACAACGTCAGGCGATGCAGTTTCATGGTAACCAGTGACCAATAATTGGTTCGTACGCCATTTGTCCCCTCAGGATCCTGGAGCCCATGTGCACCATTGGTTTGGAATCAGGGTTTTCCAACTCTTCTATGTGCATCCTCTTTGTCCACCAACCCGGTTAAAGCGCCGGACATTCACTTTCCATCCCCTCAATTTCGTGAATAACACCCCCGCCACCAGAAGGTAAGGAATAGGACTTCCTTGTATACACCTGACTACATAAGAGCATTTCGAGAGGGAGAGCGAACTCTCTCACCCCCGACCGTTCCAAGGCATTTGGGCGCTTGAATTAATGAGTTCAAACTTAAATGGATGGGCAAAACTGCTATCAGTCAGTTTCCTACAGCGCAGGACCAGGCACATATGTGCAACGGTTCAGGTTGCCGTAACTCATTAGCACAACAACATAAAAACCAAATTCATAGAGGCAGTTACATGAATGGTAGTAACATAAAAAAATGCATCCAAGGATATGATACAAGGAGAATTAAGCAGTTCGTAGAAAGAAAGCTATAAAGACGAAGAGTATATGCACTTACGCTGTTGTGATCGGTTTTAAGTCATTTCTACCCAGAGTCTCTAACCACTGGTTACGATAGTCCCAGCTATGTAGTCTACATCTACCGACATGGCTCAAACCAGAAGTTAGTGACTTCAGTGACTGAAGCTCGAATTTCCACTTTTTTATCCCGTAAGTTGAAATGTTCTATAGTAACGTGTTCGTAGAAGCTGTATATTGATGATTAAAATGAAATTCTCAATGAGAATCATGTTTCTTTTCTTCATTATTCACCCACTAACTGAACAAAAAATATTTAAACATACTAGATATTACACTTTTATTAAACATTGAAAAAAAAGTGTGGTTACTCTCACACAAACAAAGCAATATACATACATTAGACATTTCCTTATCTACATTTAATGAATTCACAAAAATCCAATCATTTAAAGTAGTAAAATTAACGATAGTGTAGTTTAAATGTAGAAAAATAAGATTTTGTATTGTTCAGTACTGTATTATCATAATGTTATTAGATATGTAAAGTGTTAAACGTATAAACTTGAAATATATCAACTTATTACTAATTATAGTATTGTTAATTTGTTTTTGTTTTGTTTTTTACTTCATTTATTATGAATACTTTATACATTACTATCCATTTTAGTGTATGTCATTGTTGATACTATATAAAGGTTGAACAAGTACATTGTTATAATCTATTTCGACTGTGAATATTAAGTTTATTTCTAAAACAATGATACCTTAACTAATATTAATTCATGATATACAAAATTTACAAATTTCTACAAAATCGCTTCAAGTAAATTACTACAGTTAACTCACTAGTGATTTAGTTCAAAATATTTTTAAAGTAAAGTTCAGGCGTATCGGTATTGAAATAGTTGTCATCAAGAGGATTGGATGATCGTTGCACTATATCTCACATTTATCAAAGTGTGGGAATATGTACTATTGGACTGCAACCCAATAATTGTAATAGTTAATTGTTCGCTGTGATATCTGACAGGGTTATTATTATTCACTGCTGAGGAATTCCATATGTTTGAAAGAAAAAGAGCTGTTTTATAGTTCTTGATTTTTAAAAGTATCCTAATTGAACTTGAGATTGCTAATAGCAGTTGTTTCATTGTTATATTGTGCTTAGGGTGATATCGTTACATTTTTTTTACAACAATCTATCGCTGAACTGAACAAATCATAAAACTAAGTATACATGGTTGGATACAACTCACAATTCATACCCAGATTAAGTAAATTATCTCAGAAAGCTCCGTGATCATTTTGTCATTGTAACCACTAAGTCTATTCGCTTTTGGATGACTTATTTTGTCTTTAAATAGAATAACTCCTGACAAAATTTTCCCACTATGTTCATCTCATTACTCTGATTTTTTTTCAACTTCTTCATTAATCTTTGGTGAAAAAAATATTACGTACATCCTTCTTTGTTTTCTCCTTGCTTAGCTTCTCATTTATCCTTCATGACTCTCTACTTTTCTCATCTTGTTTTCCTCTTATTTCTACATCTTGTGCATTTTTTTCTTATTCTCACGAATAATATATAGAGAAGGATGTATAAGACTAAGCTTGACAAATGCTTGTTTGTCGTTCTTCTATGAAGTAAAATCGTCTTATTGTAACTTTTTTTTGTATTCTCTGATGATGTCTTCTCCTTCCTCTCTCATATCTCTCTCTCTGCTTCACATTCTCTTCTCGTTATCATGTTGCAACAGTTCCCCATATGTTTTGTTTTTGTTTTGTACCCTGAAACGAATGAAATTAGTATGTATATATGTGTACTTGTTTGTTTTCACAATTTTAATAACCCACTTGTATTGAATTCCAGATTTAATGTGTTGTTGTTTATTATAAATTATAATTGACTGTAAGATTTATCACTATGTGCGTCATCTCTTTAGAGTTATGCCTCTGGGTGTTTGTATATGTGGAAATTTCTAAATAATAAATATTTGCTGTTTGTTGTTCAGCTTTCCGTGAATGAAAATTTCAGTCCAACAATAGAAATTTATTGTCTTTCGTAAGTAAATACACATACATAAAAGAGTTTCTCTGGAGAGAAGACCAACGATGATTGCCAGTATACTAGTAGTACTGTGGTGTATGCTACTTATGTAAGTAGTATATATCACCAAGCAGAAGTGTAGTGCTTGTCAAAAGAAGATCCGATTGAAGAGAACAGAAAGGAATTGTAACAGAAACAGAACTGAAAGAATCATGAAGGATGTAAAAGACAACTGAAAGATGTGCAAACGATGTATAACTTTCACATTTTTGATAAAGCACTGTGTGATTGTGCGCTAACAAGAAATTGGTCTTCCCCTTCTGAGTTCTCGTTTACCACAGTACTACATAATGTTGAAAACAATAAATTTTTAAGGCTGGCCACAATAATATATAGCCGATAATAATATTTATTACTATTTTTTTAGGCATAATCTATAAACTATTCCAACATTTTTTCAAGCATATACGCTGATTATATGAATATCCATCTACAAAGCTGAGCTGTACCGTTGCGCCAATGATGAATGCGATAACCGCTTCAAGATCACAACTCATTTCTTGAAATAGAGTTAGATATTTTTGTTGCAAATTAGAATTAGGAGTAACTGTCAAGATTTTCATCACTAAGTGGCATCAGCTATAATTCAAGGATTCTAAATCTCATGTCTCAAGTACTTGTCTTAGCGTAATAAGTAATTTATCAAACTCTACTGTTTCTCTCTCTTTCTTGATTGGCTTAACTAATTAAGATCTCAAAGTTATTTGAAAGCATGATCTATCTTTATACCCATTTGTCAATATTTGAATGGACAGTTTCACAGAAATCGGCTGCGAAGTATTCATCAAGAGAAATTAGTTATGAAATTACTTTGTAATGATGTCAGTGATTGGTAACTTTGTCTTAATTCGTTGACGAAGTTTAGATCAGATTACACAGCGAAGTGTTAGATCTACTTAACCTTTAGTTGTATATTTTAAATTTGGTTTAAATAAACGGTTATCCGTTTGGTAACTTGTTGGGACAAGTTTAATTTGAAAAGAGTTTCCTTAATTTGCTAACATCAGTAGGAAGACTGTTGAAAACCTGTGACCAAAATGCTTAACAGTTGTCTTGTTTCAAGTTTGCGACTTTTTAACTGTGGGCATTTATGAACTGACGAGACAATAAACTCACACCCTTCAGGATTTGCAGTGAACCCATCACTTTTAAACCAGAGAGATATTTTCAATATTCGAGAGATTTTTCGACACTTGAGATTTTTATACATAACTTATATACCCTGCTTTGAACCGCAGTGTTTTTCATACAAGTCGGCATGTTTACTTGTCTGTCCACACCGAAGTGGATTCACATTTGAATGAACCATCGACACACCATTTGCGAACTAAGTTTATTAACCGCTTAACAACATGTTCACTTACGTAAAAGGGGTAAATATTTATCAGTTTTTCCTAAAAAACACAACATGTCAGCCAATATTATATAACTTATCTCACCATTAGTATAAAATTATTTGCATACCGTACATGCTTTATTATTTCATCCGGATATTTACTGTTTTTCATACAAACTCTATGGAATTTGTTTGTCGTCATTGAGAAAAAAGTATCCTTTTAGTTTATACTGTTTTGTTTAAAATATAATGAGAATAGACTTTATCCTGTATTTTTTTTCACCATATATTCGCGTGCAGATTTCAATGTGTAGTTGGTTTCGTTTCCACTTTTCGTGGTCTTCTTCTTCTTCTTTTTTTTCTTTAAAATTTGGTTTTATTTAACTTTCAGAATGTTTTGTTTTGTGGATTTTATTTATTATCCCATTTTTCCTCTTATTCAAAATTAACATATTCTATTTGTTTGTTTAATATAGAATGTGTATATGTGTGACTGAACCGTTGATTTATTTGTTGTTTGGATTAGAGAAAAATTGTTTTTCACGAAAATATTATTATTTAATGAATTATTATCTGTAAGATGTTGAAATTTTGTTTGTAATACTTGTTAACATCATTTGCATTTCTTTTTTTAAGTAGTCTATTTGTATAGACTTTTCACTTATTTTCATATATATATATATATATATATATATATATATATATATTTTTGTGTATGTGCATGGCTGTTAGAGGTGAGTGTGTGAATGGAACGTAGGAAGAGAGTGTAAGAATGTTTTTTTGAATATTCAATGTTGAAGTATCAAATATTTTCAGTGATTGATAAAAGGACGTAGTCTATTTACTCCGAAACAATAAGTGACTAGTTTTAATATAACTAAGAAAGGTTATGAAGAACTGACAGTGATAAAGTGGTCTTTTCATCACGTCTATAATACCATCCAAACTATTGAATTGAAGATCAATGATCCGTATTTTTAACTTGTGACTACAATCTATTCTGTATTGAAAATAGCTTCATCCTACTTTCAAGATAGTTGAACTTCACGCCAGTCACTATTGTATTATATTAGAATTATAAGAACTCGAATCAAACGTTATATATTTAGAAGTGATTGTCGTGAAACCCTGGACCGGAATGTTTCGTGCTAGTTGGCACTTGTTAACAAGGTCTACCTGTGATATTTAGATAGCTGACGTTTTCTTTAAGGTTCTAACTGTCAACATCACAGGTTCGTTTTATCGACAAGTGCCAGCTAGGATGAATTCTAATTCTACGGTTTGTTCCAACTGCTTAACACCAAAACAAAGTCCACGTAATATTGAGTTATTTTGACTAGTGGTCACACCTCAGCCTGATCCGCAGAATTCGATCTATGTTAACGATTAGGCAACATGATATCAGTCACTAGTCAGTGATTAAACACTTGTAATTTTAACTCAAATACTAGTCGTACGATTGAGTTTATAATTTACATTTGCATTTATTGATTTACATGATTCCTTATTGTAGTTATTTATTTATCAATATGGCGTTGTGGAGATTTCTGAATTTTAGTGAAATCATGAACCGATCCAAGCTAAGCAACCGTGGAAGCATTGGATAACCGTTTCGCCCTTGTGTGAGACTCCTCAGCGGTGCGCATCCACGACTCCGCAACTGGGAATCGAACTCAGGGCCTCTGGTCTGGCCCGCGTACGCCTACTTTCTATATCATTGAGCAGGTATCCAATAGTGTATAAGTCTCACTTCCAACGGATTTAACACATTTTCTGTATATCTATACAACTTTTTTTTCTTTTTTTTTTTACTGTAGATGCAGAATCATTGTCAATTAGTCAACTACAAACTGATCGATCTCAGGCTGTATTAGCTGCAGCTTACGCTGATCGTGAATTCGTAACATCAAATTCAACACTGGGTAAACTGAAATTATCTTCTCAAGGTATAATGATCAATAGTGGTAGTGATCGCAATAATAATTCAACTGTACCAAGTTCATTAGTCAGTTCATTACAATCTACAACAAATATCAATTGTCTGTCTGACAGTTATAATAGAAATGCCCAACATTTCAATATGCCACCTAATCCAATCATACAACGTCATCATCATTTAAGTTCTATGCCTCAGTCATCTATCGGTACATTAGAATCATCATCTCTGCATAATTCCAAGTCAAATTCCATAAGTTCCAATCTTTCTTGTTCCTTATCATCAGATTCAATGATGAATAAAAATTTCGGTTCTTTCCCTTTCAAACTCGTAAGTGTGAATCTGTTATTATTATTATTATTTACAAATCTATTTGTAAGTTGTTTGTATGCACCACCGTGAATTTATATTCACACTAAGAGTGGAAACTAGTATTTTTCGCTTGCAACACCCAACTTGTTATCCACTGAGGTGTAAATATGTTCCAAGATTTTATGAAAAGGAGAAGTTGTTTATTCTTTACAAACCCTTTTTTTATCCATTCACTGCAACATAACCATTGGTAGATATACTTTGCGCTGAGAATCCTATATTGTACCAAAAATTAATATTGAATGAAGCTAATAATAATATGCTTGGTACATTTGTTAGCTGTTCGTGTTTGGTTTTAAATAAAAGACAAGTAAATTGGTGAGATTTTATTGAATAAAATTATATAGTTTATATCATTAACTGAATTTGGCTTAGCAACCACTGGACTCTGTAAAACGCACTGGATAACGGTGTTTTTGGGACTCTCCTTATCAGCGTGCACTAATCCAATCCAAGCACTTAATCAAAGATCTTTAAGTCTTGAAAAATGCGTTCGCGTTACCTTTGAACTAATAACTTGGAACTTAATTGATCAAATGTCTGGATCCAGCCCATTCTCATTATAGCGCCATTTTTAATAGTCAGTCAGTGATGATGACCATCTTATTGTCAACATTATCAAACCCTACTAATCATGACCAATCTAATAGATTTTCTACTTTTTGAGAATATATATATATGTATATGTAACTATGCTTATGTTTAAAAGATAATTGCAAAAATCAAGTAGAAGATAAAAAACTCATTTGAATACGAATACCCTTAATTGCAAGTTTTCTTGGCCCTTTATCACTTTCAATCATTTTTTTCTAGTTTAATGGCGATCTACACAATCCTGTCTCGTCGTCTTCGTCCTCATCGTTGTCTACACACAATGATCGTAATATCATGATGGGATTGCATAAACCAGAATATATGCCATCAGAATCGGTGCTTCGCCCTAATTTTCCACCCCTCTTCAATTAATACCACCACCACTCCCTCCAAATATACCTCCGGAATTTTTAAAATCATTTCTTGTACCTGATTCTTCATCATCATTATTTCCGGGTCCCAAAGTTAACGTTACTCTAAACTCATCATTTTTACCTTCCAATCCAAACTTACAATCCACACAACCGTTGTATTCCCCTATGAGAATTAATCACCCTAATCGATCGGATAAAACTAATTATAATGGTATTCTACACCGTCCAGTTCATGGAGATAAGGTAAAAAGTGTTTTAGTTAGTTTTTAAGGCTTTTATTTCTGAAAATATTGCTTACTTATTCACCTTAATTTACCACTGAGTAATAACTGTCATCATATCTATCTAATTCCTATCACTCGTTACATTTTGTTGATTAATTTACAATGTAGCCAATAGTTTAAATGACAACTACTTGACTGTATTTTAATGTTATTTGGTCGAGAACAGACCTTATGGACCTTCGTTCCATACTGGTTGATATATTTACAGTTTTGGAGGAACTAATGCTTCTCATGAGCTCTGAACCCACATATTCACCCATTTATACACATACATATTTTGGAATATATGTAATCTTATGGTTTACATTCATTAACGTAGATAGACAACCTTTTAAACCAAGAATGGCTGGACAGCTGTTTCGTCCTGATATAGGTTTTCTCAGTTGTACATAACCAAAACCCCAATAGTGATCGAACTCATACAGAGCTCTCCGTGTGACCTACAAATCCTGGGTTCGATCTCTGGTGATAGCCATATATGAACACTTTATTTACCATACTAAGACTTAACAAATGTATAGGGTCTGCTGGTTTTCACTGTTTGTTTAACTAAGGTCAGTTTGTGATGTAGGCTATCAAATTCAACTATTTCCGTAAATCCCTTGTTCACTCGGGTGTGTAGTGCAATGTAAAATTGTTTAATCGTAGCTTAGTAATTTCTTAATAGTAGAGAATCATAAAAATGCACCACACAAAAAAACTGTCATGAAAAAATACAATATAGAATATCATGTGATGATCATAGGAATACGAATTGGATTAATAAAGGATACAATGCACATAAAAAATACTATTAGAATAGATTTTGTCAAAAGTTTATCTTACTGCTTAAGTATGAAACAAGCAGTCACTAAATACAACATACTGAACACCAACCAAATCACATTTGTTGCCGAAACTCTGAAAGATGTGCAAATTCCTCCTTACGTAGACAAGAGGGGAATTGATGCAATATAAGGGCATGGATGGATAAAGCATAGGCAGTATTCCTATCAGTGGAAAACATACGCAACTCAAGACAACTGACAACCAACACCAAGGTCAAAATTTTCAGTACGAACGTCAAGATAGTTCTTTTGTACGGAGTTGAAGCATGGAGAACTACTACAAGCATCACTAAAAAGGTACAAATATTAAAAAAAAACAGTTGTTTACACAAGCTACTCCAAACCCGCTGTGTAGACACCATCAGCAGCAACCTACCGTGGGAAAGAATAAACCAGCTTCCATCTGAAGAATAAATTAGGAAAAGATCCCTTAGGTGAATAGGGCACATTGTTGAAATCATGAAACTGCATCATGAGGCACTTGAGAGCAATGAGGAAGGACAGTTCGGGAAAATTTAGACTAGAGATTCGTGGTCGGCGGCCTATATACCACTAAGGTAACAGGCGTAAACATGTATGAAACACATAAAATTAAAATTCATCAGAATTATCACTCACAACATTCTGACTCCATGTTTAAAATAGTTTTTATGGTACGAACCAGTCTATCTCAATACCATAATTTATGATTCACATTGAGAAATGAATGCAATCCAACTACTAGTTGATTCATTCATTTGACAAACGAACTGTTTGTTGAAGCTTTCTACTCAGTCCTAACATCAACAACTAGTTCCAAGTAACGGTTTATGTTATTCACTAGTAAGTCATATCAGTAGTTAATTAAATTTAAGTCTAATGAAATTCAGGTTTAAGTAGTAGGGAGAGTGAATAGCAGGTGGCATATTGGTCATTATGTTTATATCAATGTTTGTTAATAGTCTGTAAATAATAAAAAGAAAAGGAATTGAGGATGATTTTCAAAGGATCTTATCCTGTTGTGTTTGTCAGCTTCCTGAGAAAGCTATTATCCATTTTTTTAAAAAGTATTCTACCTTTCTGCTAAAGTTCTCAGTTAAGAACACTGTGTTTATCAAGTGAACTTATTATTAATTTCATACAGATTTTGCTTACGATTGAACCAATTTTAGAATGGATTCGAGTATTATTAATACATTAGCTTTTGTAGATAGGTAATAACGAGAAATTGATCTAATTTTATATTATTCATTAATCCTAACTATTTTTTTAACCTTGTGTATTTATGAATAATAGATAAACGGCTGGTATTCATGACCTAGTTCGTTAGTGTATCTTGCAACAGACATATGCTAAAGTTCGATCCCGCGAACCGCCGTCCGCGTTAAAAATCACATTAAACCTTTTTTCTTTTTTATAGCTTTTACAAATATTGTAGGCTAAATCCCTAGGTTTGTACGTATCGTCCTAGTTTGCGATCAGTAACTACTCATTCAACTAAATGGGATTGGTTCGAATTTGGTTGATGAGGTTGTAAAGCTTCATTGATCGAGAGTTGGTTGGAACACGTATTACGTTAGTCCAGTCAACGCCTACCTTGATGCACTATATTCATTATAGTAAGGGTTGGTTTGAAGAAAACTGGAGTCAGTCAATCTAAAACGTGACACCAATCCATGAAGTCATTGACTATTGGATTGAGTTGTATTAGTAGGGTCAGACTATCTAGTTAGAATTCGCACTATAAACTTGATCAGTGTTCGGAGACGTTGAGCGACATAATTCAATATTGTATGCGATTATTCAGACGTATTCACTCTATTTGCACTGAAGTCTTATGTTTTAAAATCATCTCATACTTTTTTACACCTCAATATTTATTCTTTTTGAATGATATTGTTTATGCATAATGTTGTATAGTACCACTAATCCTGTCACTACTTCTACTCTGGTATTTGTATTGTTAATTACGTCTCCCGGTACTACGGATATGGTTTGGCAACTTGAAATGATTCAAATATATCCCAAACTCTGTATTGTGTATGACTAACTGACTAATTAACATTTTACTATTTATTGCAAAAAATTATGTTGGAATTGATTGGTATACTTATTATCAAATGCAAGCGATTCGCAATATTGTGCGATAATCACACAGTGTAATTTAGAATATCTGTCTCTTATTTCTTTGATGATAATGTACATATTTTAACTTATTTTTCATACCATATGTTTTCTTATGCTTATTTTTACTTAATCAAGCTTTATGGACGTTGGGCTGACGCACATATTCGTATCGCTCTGTTTATCCAACATTGTAAATCATCTACTCAAGGATTACAATCATCTCCGGTTGTATCCTCAATATTTTCAACATCTAGATTACCAATTCGTCCCATGGTTAAACGTTTGAGCCTAGGTGTACATTCCTCTATGCCTTCTTCCATGACTAGTGGACCTGTAAATTATAATTCAAGTAAAATAAATATTGAATCAGTGAATAACAATCGATCAACTCAGCCGCCGCCACTAAGACCTCCTTCTCTTCTTCCTTCACAACTTCATAATCCTATTAATTCAGTGAACAGTAATAATAATAATAATAATAATAATAATAATAATAATAATAATAATAATAATAATAATAATAATAATAATAGTGGTCCTTCAATTCCTAGTAGCATAACCTCTGATATATCATTTTGGGGACATTTATTTAATGAATTTATGAATAATCTATCAAAGGAATTTCTTAATAGTATACCAGACTGTAAAGATACTCAACTAGCAACATTACAAAACTTTTATTCTCAAATGTCACAAATGAATAATTCTGTATTAAATGGAGGTTCTTTCCCGAAATCAACAGATTTTTCTTTTCTCAATTCAACAGTATCATCTTCATCTATGGCTAACAATAGTAATAATAACAATTGTTCACCAGTTCCATCAGCATCAAATATTGCCGGCTTCAACTTTCCATTAATTACTCAATCTTTCAATTCCCTTTCTTCTTCCTCCTGTTCTTCTTCTTCTTCTTCTTCTTCTTCTGCTACTACTACTACTACTACGAGTGTTCGACCAACTGTTCTTCCTTCATCTCCTGCTCTTATGAATTTTTCATCGTCAACAAATGTTTTTAATAATAACGATTTAAAACGAAGACGAACTGATTCTTCTTCAAGTAGCATGGATATTAATAATTTGCCATTTCCAATGCGTTTTCCTAATTCCTTTCCTCGACCACCGACTATTCATAATTATGTGCCTCATCAGCATTCTTCCCTTCATTCTGGATCATCAATACCACCACCTCCAGCACATTCCGATATGATAAATGTAGCCGCCGCTGCTAGTTTATTAAATGGATTTCGATTGCCTGAAACCTTTTTAAATCATTTCCCACATCCTACACAGTTATCATCGGTGTCAAGTGGTTCTTCTTTGAATGATAGAAAAAACACCAGGTCATCCAATACTACTACCGGTACTATTACGACTTCCAATAATTCATCACATTTAATTCCGATCAATCCTTGGTGATTTTAATCACATTGTTTGTCTATTTTTCTCCCGATCAATAGTTTATAACTTGTTTCAAAATGGTGATTTTATTGTTATTAGCTAATTCAATCCTAGTGAAGAGAAGATAGGTATGTGATTATGATGATGTTGATAGTGTATGTGTATGAGTGTGGGGAAGGTAGGTGCAAACAAAAAGGGATCAGTTTTCATTTCAATTCTTCCTTTCATTTAATTGTGTTCTTTTACTTTTCCTTTGTTTATTTATTCAAACATGCAGAGATTTACTTTCGCTATTTTATATATATATATATATATATATATATATATATAATATATATATATATATATATATATATATATATATATATATAGCATATCTCAGCAGTACAATGTTCAGTTACATTTTCTGCGTACTTCTTTATAATTATTATTCATTATTCTTTGTGTGATTTGCTTCCTACACTATTTTCATATCCTTATCAGAGAATACACCTATCGTCATCATCATCAGCATCATGGATAGCCAATCACGATAAAGGTGCATGTAGCATTGTTGTTGGATAATCTCAGCTATTTTTCTTTTAATTTCAAAAACAGAAACATCACTTCCCCTAACATGTACACAAACTATGTAGAATGGAGTTAAATATTTTTTCTCCTGTAGACTTCATTTCATAATCATGTATATTAATCATTATTAAAATTTGACAAAATGAAGTTTCAGTACACCATAATACATATAAATAAATACAAAAGTCATAATAATGTCTTCTTGTCTATTCTTTTCACTTGTGTTCTTTTTTTCGCCTTTTTTTTGTCTATTGACGATTATTTTATGTTGTATATTAACGTGAAACATAATGAATGAGCTATAGGGAATGTGTGAGTGTATGAGAGAGAATTTTTTATCAACGAAATCACTATATATCTCTTATTTTTTTTGTATAACTCCCCTTCTTCTTGTCCTTTCATACTTCTGACCTTCAAACGACGCCACTACTATTAGTACTTAGTTACATTAGTTAAATAGATAAATAGACAGATAATCAGTCAACTATTACTACTATCATCACCATTATTATATTGTATTATATTATAATACCTTTTATATTATACTCATCTTTTATTTTACACATTGCTTTGTAGACAGTTAAATTTGTCACAATGTCCCCATTCACTTCTCTTCATCCATGTTTTTTTCTTCTATAAGTCTTTATACCCTTAGTGCTTCTGTTATAGCTTGTTCTTTTACCCGAAGAATAGTGTATCCTTTAAGTGTCATAATGATAATTGAATTGAATTATTTTTATTATTTCATTTTTTGTGTTATATTAGCTGAATCATATAGTTAATTGTGGTTAATATAAATTAACATTCAATTTTTCATTAGTTTAACAACAATAATAAATACTTTCCTACTAACTATTGTCATTTATTAATTAAATTGCCTCTTTAAAAATATTGTTAATATACTTTGAGATTAGTATTGTCAATTTCATTGTGTTATATTCTCATCCCCAGTTATGATTAATTACATAAATGGATAATAATGCAAAACAAGCAAGGACTATTGAATACGTACAAATATACTGAAAATATTGTAAATTTAATGGCTGTTCAATTGTTCATTATTATTATCATTAGTATTATTTTCATTTTGTTTTAATTTTTCATAATGATCAGTTTGACAACGATGATTACTAGCTCTAACATAGAGTTTACGTTATTTTACACAATGGAAACAATGTTTTGGTTATGGTAGTAGTAGTAGTAATAGTGGTAAATTGGTTAATCTGATCCTTTTTTTCAGTTTGTCTATGTTTACTATTATTATTTCACTGGTTCCATCTTCTTTCTTTCCATTTTCCATCCAAACTGCATCTTTACCCTGTGTATCTTGTGCTTCACAGTGAAGCAAAAAAAACAACTCAAAGACGTTGTAAGTAAACCACCAAATCCAAAGTTTTCTCTGTTTTTTTTTGCTGATTATTATCGCTGTTGTGGTTATTGTTTATTATTGCGTTCAGTTCTTTATTTTTCCAAAATCAAAATCCTGTTTTTTTTCGTATATCATTTTGTTTTCTATACATGTGCATTCATGGGATACTGGTAACGGGAATGATAGTATGTGGTGTTCTATGTGTGTGTGTGTGTCCCTCTACATAAGTGTAGCAATATGCATAGACTTGAACACAGCACTATATCCATGGATTATTATTGTTATTATTATCAAATGAAAGTTATTTAAGAATCGTTACTTTTCTCGTGAACATAACGATGTGAGAAAATTACTATAGTTAGTGGCCGTTAATTTTCGATTATAGAAATGTAAAATAATTAATCACAACAATTTCTAATATTTGATATGTGATTATAAAGTAACTTGGTAATTGTTTATACCTTTATACACAAACTATACGCTTATAATGTTATAATATTAACTATTTCTATGTATAGATGAAATGATATATATGTTTATCTACATAAGTAATAATACTAGACAAATCCAGTATAGTTTGAATAGAGGAGACCGGTATTATACTATGAATACTTCAACGAATAGATTTACTAGAATAAATAATTACTGATCATGACTTAATGAGAAAAAACATATTTACTTTGATCAATTGATTAATGAAGTAGGATTTTGATTTCAAATGTTAATTCTTAATCCGTAAATTGTCGAAATAATATTACCTATGAATGGTTTTTTTTGTGTGTTATTCAATAAAATAAGCATAACTCACTGAAATAGTTTCCTTTTGTTTATTGTTTTAAATTGGTTGAAAGTCAGTGTAAAGATGTTTGTTTTTTGATAAATTAAAATTCTTCAAAAGTTACAGTCTAAGTTCCTTGTGACTCAGTGAGATCTAAGATTTTTTTAAAAGTTTAACAGTTGTATTGTTCTGGTATTATTTTACATGTTCATATAAGTAATCTATGAATAGATCATCTATATAAAGGATTATTAGAACTAATTATCTATCGAAATATAATGTAGCTTAAAGTAACCGCAAAAAAACAACTCATTGACATTATACCCATATATCACCAGTCAAAGGAGTGAGATGTGCAGAAATTATGTTACACATCTGTTTTTTTTTCTGTGTATTTCTTTATGGTCTCGAAGCATAACTTACTGAACTAAGATATCTACATAGTTTACTAACAGGATTCGATTGTACATATCACCGAAGTATTATTCATATATAAATGGAACTTTCGAATAAGTGAGTAGCGCAGAATTTCAGTGCATCATGCTAATAAGAAAGAAACATGTCCGTCATTGAGATTAGTTACAATCTATCTATTCCACAAAAAAGGTCATGATATATTATTTTCTTATTAGGTTTTATTTTGTTATTCTATTTATACCGGCGTCCTTTCTTGAGTACCTCTCACCCTTTTCATTATTGCAATATTTTATAGTTCGCTATATTTTTGTAAATCTTTATTGTGTTCCCTACTAAACTAGTAGGATTATGAGATCATATAAATCCCCATTAATATGTTTATTTATATATGTAAGTATGAGTAGCCTAGTAAATGCATTGTGATACAGTTATTTTATAATTTATAGCATGATTGCTTCTTCATAAAATTCATTTTAGAAATTAATTAACTTATCCTATGATTTATGACGCCTTCATTATATGTCAGTTTAAAAATGAATACATCAAATTACAGAACCAAATTATGTCATTTCATAGGTTGAAATATAAAGCAAAGTCACTTAACATCAACCTGATATTGTGATATTATAGAAATTTTCATTCTCAATTGTAATTTAAAATCGAAGCTTATTAAGTTGTTATCAATATGGGGTTGTAAATATTATGAAGTTGTTGAGATCATGAATCGATTGATGTTAGACCATCATTGAAAACCTGAAAACACTGAACGGCCATTGGTTTTTAGTAATTTATATTATACTCTTATTATTATTGTATAAATGATTACTAATTATCATCATTATTTGATTATAATGTTCAATGTTTGATACACGTTTAGTTTGCATTATTTTAATTATTAAATATATAATAAGTTCATTTCATACAAGTAAAAGATGTCAGATTATTTAACATGATTTTATAATCAATATTAACTATAGTTAAATTTCTATAGTTTAATAAGAAGACGAAGATTATCAGAATTATGTAATGATATATTAGCGAAATGCATTTCGAACAATCTGATTGCACATATACTTGTTAAGAATATATATATATAAGGTCATCTAGACTAAAAATGAAGGGTAACAAGTGATAAGAATAATAAAGAAATAATGTGAAAACAATTTGAAACCTCATCACTCTGGATAAAGTATGAACAAACTGTTTTTGAATACACAGAGGAGGTTTGAATTTTCGTATGGCTGAGGCTTCAATAAACCTTAGTATACGCCCTTTTACACTTTTATACAACACCACAAAAATTGAGTTAAATTAATGCGATCATTTAATGATTACTTAAATAAATCAATTTTAATTTATTACTGTAAATTGTCAATAATCCAATCTTCTTTTTGTATTGATAAACATATTTGAACGATAGTACAAGTGAGTTAAATGTGCACAGTTGACATACAAACCTTCTACTAAGAGAGATAATATTCTACTTCCTGTACAATCTGAAAATTCAATTATGGTTAACTTTCTTTGGATGCATACTGTTAAAGATATCATAACTATACTAAAGCACCTATTTAATATTAACTAGTTTCAGGTCACTAATCTGTAAACTATAATCAGAATAATCTTGAAATTAATACACGTGTACAAATGGATTTGTTGTTAGTTAGTATATGACCAGGGATTACTTCTTTCAGAGTAAATGCTAGATTACGAAGAGAGTTCTTATCACGTACTAACAATAACTTTAGACGTTTTGAAAACTAAAGAGTATTGGACAAATATTTCTTTATAGTTTACGATTCTTGATCAATGATTACCCATAAACCCTCCATTTATTGAACCGAAAAACGTGCCTGTAGAGGACCATGTTACTGATATCGTAGCTTTGAACTAATTTTCACAATCAACGCAACTAGAAGAAATATTATGGGTTAAATATTTGAGAGAGAAAAAAAAGAACAATTACTAATCAATAATTTCAGATGGGTTTTGTGGATATTATGGTAATTTCAATGGTTAAGATTATGAGTCAGTTGACGCTAGACCACCATGGAAAACCTGGAAGCACTGGACAGCTATTTCGTCCTATTGTGGGACCC